AATATTTCAAGTTCCGGAGTTTGAGAACCACTACTTGAATTGGGGTTACTGAGCCGTTTGGGAGGCTGGCAGTGGATGATGGGAGTTGTAGTCAACGTATCCGAGAAGGTTGCTTTACATACTGCATTAACTTAGGTGAGCTTCATTGAATGGAAGAGGACTTCTTCTTCTTTGCTTTACTTATATCTCACTTCCCCCCCCCCAGAAGTGGGACTCAAGATAGCTTACAAATTAACATAAATTCAGTACAGTTGAAGCATACAAAATAGCAGCATACACACACGCACACATACTATTAACAACATTAAAAGCAACCGGGGGGGGGGGGGGAATGATAAAACGGCATTTAAAAACAATTCAATTAAAACAAATAGGCCCCTCTTTATAAGTCCTTTCTTTGCAACCTTCACTTTGCAGAAACCTGCTTTTGCCTGCCAAGGGAAGGTGGCCCTTTTGTCTTCCCTAGAAAGGGAGTTCTAGCACCTAGGGACCAACACTAAGATCTTGTCTCGATCTTGTCCCCCCACCAGCCATGGCTGTTAAAGTGATGGGATTGAGCGAAGAGCCTTTCCTGAGGCTCTCAGGGTTATTCTGGGGAGAGAGACATGTAGGGTTATGCTGTGAGATTGTTGTCATTAAAATAAATCTTAGCAGGGATTGGGTCTGTTCCTGAGGGCTTCCACATTTCTCCTTGGCTTCCACCTCCAGGATCCAGCCTCCTGCTGCTAGAGGAGAATCCATGCTTGACTGAGATGATCCTTGCTGTGCTCAGGCAAGAGGAGCCAAATCCCAACATCCTTTCCTTCATCCTACGACTCACTGGGATACTCGCTGCCTCGGAAACCAGTTTCCAACACCTGCAGGTTAGCTGGGTTTTGAGATGGTACCAGTGCAATACTACAGTACTTGTGGCCCTTTTATACATTGTGGGATGTTTTGCCAGGAAATATTTCTTTGTGGAGCATTGTCAGACAGTATCTAAATTGAACTAAAGTTGCCCATCTTCCAGGACTCTTCCCACTGGGATGCTAAGTCCATGCTTGGCAGGTGAAAAATCTCAGCTTTCATGCAAAACACAAAATGCTTTAGACCAGAGGTGGAAATCATTTAGCCCTCCAGATGGTGTTTGATTGCAACTCCCAGTTACCTTCACTGGCATAGTCAATGGTGTGGAAGACTTGGAATTGCAGTCTAACACCATCCGGAAGGATTTATGAATCCCACCCGTGACTTGGATTTTATGGTGGCAAAAAGAGGCAATAGAATCTGAGAGCTATAACTCTCTTCTTCCTACAGTGAACTCAGGTGTTGATCACTTACAACACTGGAGCCAAAGCAGGCCATCAGCCATAGTCCACATAGCCACTGGTAAGGGCTGATGGCGTTTGCAGTTTAGCATCATCTGACAGGCCACATTGCCCCCTGCCCCAGGAATCATGCTGACTTTTCAAGTAAAAATGAAAGGCAAAAGTTCAGGCAAGAGACTTGAGTATATTTTTGGAGGGGGAACGTGGATGTCATGAACTCCATTGAAGCTCAGCCTAATCTTTGGTGCTGATGACCCTTCCTTTTGAGCAGTGAGAACTGTGCCATTCGCAT